ACCCACAAATTGCCTGAGCAACCCTTTTTTTTTTTCACCACACAAGGAATGGAGAAAACTCAGAAAGACCCAACAAAAACGGCAGTTCAAAAGTTTGCATTGGACAAATGTGATTGCAAAAGGTATCCGAAGTGTCCATCCACACTGTAGTTTTGGTTTCAAGAGGCACAGTGTGAAAATGATAGGCTCTATGACAAAAAAGCCACTGTTTACCTGCACTGGGTACTGCCGTTTTGATGACTGTCAGGTTTCAAGTAATGTGAAAGTGGAAAGTGAGTCGTCCTCCTCAGGCTGTTGTCTGCTTCAGGGGGGCATTGTATGGCACAGCCTTCAACAGCTGAGAAGGAGGCCAATTAGAGCTGAAGAAAGGCAGCTGATAGCAGACACTCTTAGCTCTAAACTCCCAAGAACTGTATATCTACAAAGCTTGAACAAGTTGGAGGAGACTGTTCTGCAATCTGGTTGCAGAGATGAGGTGCCGACAACTGGAGTCTTAAAGACTTTATCTTGGGTGAAGGGAAAAAGCAGAGGAGGCACGAAAATGAGATGGTGAGTCTGCAACTTATGTCTGAGGATGTTCAAGACAAAGATGACCAGTGGATTCAGAAGGTAATCCTGCAGCCAAAAGGTGTCATGCTTTGGTCTAAGAGAACAATTAGGTTATTCCATGACAGATCGAAGGAGGACATTGTCTACCTAGATGCCACAGGTAGCATTGTTAAAAAGGCAAAAGGGGAGAGCACACCTTTTTACATCTACGAACTTGTGGTCAGAAATCCAGCAAAAGGATGCTCCCCTGTCCCTGTTGCCACATATGTTACCTGTGAACACACCACAGCATCGATAACATACTTTCTTGGCTCTTTCATCACAGACTGTCAAACAACATGGGCCAAAAATTCGCAGAAGACCAGTTATGTTACTTTGTGATGGTTCTGTAATTTTGATGCAGGCAATGGCTCATAATCTATGTGGCCTTAGTCTCAATTAACTACTATCACAATATTATCACATTGTGACGGGACAAGGAATGGAGCATGCACTTGCACTTCCTATCCTACATAGATGCCTGAGCCATGTCATGAAAAACGCAAAGGACCTCTGCAAAAAACAGTGAGTGATGTCTTCAAATGAATATGATTTTAGTTATATTTAGTTTAGAGTATAGTGGCATTGTAATAATATTAATTCTGTCAATTCTTCCTCACAGTGCCGGAAAACACTATCGTCTGTGCATGCATGTCTTCGGGCTGATGACCCAGGCTACTACTCCTAAAATAACTTGGATCAAGTAGTAGTTAGTGCCCACCGTGCTGCTGGCAAGTCCATGCAGTGGGAAAATGTTGAGAAACATTTTAAAGACCTCAGACGCTTTTGACAGCAGTTGCCAACCAGTCATTGATGACTCAGGCATTGCTGAGGAAGACTTTGTGGTAGGTAATCCTTTGTAGAATTGTAAAATAAAATTGAATAATGGATTAGTTGTCAACTATTAAATTAATCGCCAACTATTTCAAAAAGTTGTTTGAGTAATTTCTTACGAAAAAGTAAATATTGTCTAAAAGTAAATATTCTCTGATTCCAGCTTCTTAAATGTGAATATTTTATGCAATATTTACTCCTTTATGACAGTAAAATTGAATATCTTTGAGTTGTGGACAAAACAAGATATTTGAGTACGTCATGTTGGACTTTGGGAAACACTGATTTTCTGAGATTTTATAGACCAAGCAACTAATCGATTAATCAAGAAAATTATTGACAGATTAATTGACAATGAAAATAATTGTTATTTGCAAGCCCTAATGTTTATGTGTTTTTCTGGGTGCTTTGACTATTTCCCTTTTGTGAGTTATGCCTAAATAGGTATAAGCTGTATGGAACTTTTTTCCTTTGTAGAATGTTCAGCAGATATAGCTTTGTTGTAACTGCAGTCCATGCAAATACAAAATACACAATTACATGGACCAAAGAATTATAATATTGTAACTAACATCTGGTTTAGTACTCAAAAATGCACCAAAATACAAAACAATTACATGAACGTGATTATGTGTCTTACAGAATGATTTGGGCCCAACACCGTTTGACTACCACTTTAAGGATGTCATCCAGCAGGCATCATTGGATAAAGTTGGAGAGCCAAATGAGTACTTTTGCCCAAACTTTATCCCCAAGCTGCTCAAGTACTTTCTGCCTCAGGCTGCTCTGTGGTCAAGACTACTACTGGGTTAGTTAACTTCCTCTTCTTCATGTATGTTTTAATTTTAAGCTTGTTTTTCCTATTATTAAAGTTAGATGCTTCTATGGCAGGTGACCTTGGATGTCATGGAAGAGGTCCCTTTTATGAAAAGCTGTCAAAGAGGTTCAAGACAGTTGCCCAGAAATCAACACAGGTAAACTTGAACAAAAAAAAACATAATTACAGCTAACCACAACTTTATGACATGGCTGATATCCATACAGTTGTAGACACACTAATTCACCAAAGAGCTGTTATTTAACAGAACTACACTAAAGACAACATGACCCAGGGGATTATGGAGAAGAGCCAGTGGGATCTTAAAAAGATTCGCTTTCAGCAGAAGAGGCTCACAAGACTGGATGACTTTGTGCACACATACAAGGTCATGCACAACGCACTGTTGAGAGAATACCAAGACTCTCTGAAGACAAAGAACAAGGTATGATATTTTGGCAAAGTCTTTACTTATTGTAATTGCCTTTCTCTGTCATCGCTGTCCTTGTTTGAGGGATCATATTGTGATCAAACTAATAACTTTGATCAAAGTTTTATATTTTCAGTTCTGTCACTTTGAACATGTTTTTGCAGAAATTGGCACTACATATGTGTAACATAGTAGCTGATGTGAAAGTATATATTAATTTCATTGCATAGCAGAATTACTTTAAATTAGTTGTAGTTAGTTGTTGTTAACTTTTTGTTAATGCAAATTACATCCCATTACAGGTCAGAATCACTTGCAGGACTAAGACATAACCTCAGGTTTAAGCACCAAATATATTATTGAAAACATCAACTAACCATAGGTGATGAAATTGCCATCACATAGTTGTCTAGTGTTGCCACATATCCACTAATGTGTGCCAATTTATACAGAATGCAATTGAAAATGTTGTGGAAATATTGTCTTCCATTTATAGTAACTACACCTATTGCTCTGTGTTTATTATAATTAAGACCCACAGGGTAGATGTGGAACGGTGGAAACAGAGGAAACAGAGGAGGAGAGGTGTATATGTTACACCAATCACAAAGCCTTTTCATTTCAAGAAATCTAAAGCAAAGAAGGTAAAGGAAAGGTTACTTTATTGATCACCATTTTTTTACATGTGATGCTATGTGTTTATATAATACAGATAATATAAAATGTTGACGTCAAGTACATTTGGGATTATCAGGTTATGAAGAAGATTCTCAACCCATCTCTGTCCACGTCCAACCTCAAAGAGGCACAGGAAAAACACAGAGACAGCTTTCCACAGCACACACCATCTCAGGTTAGTGCCTAACATTTTGCTGCATTTATTTTTAAATGTCCTTCAATTGTAAAGGATGACAGAATGGCTTTTTTCATTCTACTAGAAAGAACAAAGAATTACAGTTCTTCTTTAAGAAGATCTCATGATGATCTTATGAAATGTTGTTGATGTATCTTGTGACTTTTCCATGTGTAACATTTCTTGTCTCCAACTTTTGTGTTTACCATGACATGCTATCCCTCCATCTCATTCTGAAGAACATGGACAAATTGTCAAATAGCTAATGTACATGTTTTATAATGGGATGATGTTTGTATTTCATGGAATTATCTGTATTACATTGTTCACAGCTCAAGTCCCCCCCACCAGTCAACATCAGTCATCACTGATGCACATGAACAGAAGCCCTCTCCAGAACATGTGACATCACAGGTCAATTTTCTTAACAAAGCATTATAAAACCTGTACTGTGGATACAAAAATATATATATTTTAGGAATAATGTATTTTTTAAATTATTAACATTAATCCAGGGATGATACTACAATTAGACTGCATAATAACATCATTTTCAACAAAGATGTCATTGGCTAATTGGTCATTTTATTTTATTTTTCTTACATGTACTTTAAGTATATGTTCAGTGATAAAGGATGGACAGTATTACATATACATTTTTGAATGTATTCTGAATCACTTTGTTTACTGGTCATAACTTAATATGTCTGTTTTAGAATATACGATTTTACAGTTAATATGTTTTAAACTTACATTTTCCCTTTTATCTGAATATTAATTATGTAGAGTTTTGGATAATTTATCATAAATATAGTAAGACTGATTTTTTTTAACTTAACAAGTTGTTAATTTGTTTCTGCAGCTGACATCAATGTGGAAAAGGAAGGACACTGAAGTTGTGGTTGCTGTGCTCCCCTCCCATATTAGAGGGAACCATTTTTTGATCCACCACAGTGAGCTCACTCTGAGACCTCACCAGTGGCTAACAGGCGAGGTATTTTGTGGTTAAAACAATATTACCCACAGTAAAATAAAAAATGTTTAGTATTTAATTGTATTATATATTTTATTAGTGTTTAATCCGCTGTATTTCTTTCTGTCTTCATCTCAATTATCGGATTTAGGTTATTGAGGGCCCATTCCATCTGTATGCCAGCCAGTTCAACACTGGAAACACAATGTACATACTCAATCATTACACAGCAGGTATTATACTTTTTGGAGAACGAACCCAGCTCAGTCGGCACGGCTTGCCAAAGGTAACGTGTGTTTTCATGCCTTTTACCTATCCACACCTTGTAGAGCCAAAATTGGCTGTGAAATGGCTTACTTGCATGTGTACATTTTGTGTTATAGTACTTTGGGTTTTCTATTTTGTAATTTAATATACAAATTCAAACACCCATGATTTATTTTTAATAACATAAGGCATCATATTCCTACGAAAACTTAAAAAAAAGTATTTTTATTGCTGTTATAGATCAACTTTAATGATTATCAAGCCGTGATCGCCTTTGTAAATATTGAAAGAACACACTGGAAGTTGCTGGTTAGTGATTGTTTTCATTCAGAAATCCCTTTCATTTAAATATGTATATATGTTTGATGCTGTTTTGAAATAACATCCCTTTTTTTTTAGTACATATTTCCTGCCATAAGATCAGTATTTTTGGTGGATCCAGCGGCAAATTCCAAAGAGAAAGCAGACTCGGAAAATGCTGCGAAAAGAGTACGGTAAGTCAGCAAATTAGATATAAAGTGATCTTAGAATTATATTTAGTGCTTTGTGTTTAAGTAAACATAAGTATGTAAACAGAAGTTCCCAAACCCACACCACTGAAGTATTTATTTTGTGCTTGGTGGTCTCAGCTGTTTTTTAAATGATATTTCCTTATCCCGCCCTTAGTATCTGTGTACACAATTCTAAATGAAGTAGCTCAGTAAGCAAGGTAACCTACAATATGTTCCAGTGTCCATACTGTTGGGATGGAGTGTTTTTTATTTTACACAGTATTTAAAGATTTGTATTCTACATGTGTCTGTTGGGAGTTACATTAGAGACTATTCCACAATGTGTTTTACAAAGGGAATACTTCAAGATGAGGAGGACCTGCTATGGCAAGGAGGACTGGGGGACTGTCAAATGGGGAGGAGCAACCATGCACCATCCAGTTCAACGTGATGGCAGTAGCTGTGGGGTCATTGTTACCATGGTAACGTAGTTTTTTACTTTAACTACTATATGTAATATGTATGCTTCTGCTACATATATATATATTCTTATATTTATTTCAGTGTCTTGATTATTATACAAGTTTAAAGTATAAAATAGTCAATGATGTTACAAAATAAGTCATTAGTTTCTGAATGATCAATTTTCAGTTTATTTTTTAGGGGAATTGTGTAAAAGTGATGAGAGGGCTGGTTGTTGACACAGCCCATGTAGTTTGTCATGTACATTCTTCAAGTTGTGTTAATTACCTCATTACAACTATTAGTTATTAATAGTTTGATCATTTTTATTGAAATATCATTTCAATGTTGTAATTTTACTGGCAAAAACAATGTAGCGCAGATGAGAAGTGTGATTCTGTGTGTTGGTGTGTAGATGGCAAGAGCAGTGATGGAGGCCTTTCCTGCATTACCAATTATGTCCTTTGGGACATCCAAAAAGGAGATGGCTTGTGAGAGGAGAAAGTTTGCACTTTCAATACTCAATGGTTCAGGTTCATTTGTCCTGCTTTATGTTATGGTTCTTAGTTAGTTGTTATGGAAATGATGAACTTCTATTAATCCAATGCAATCAAACAAATCTACAATAACTACAGCCTGTAAAATTGCCTTTGAGTCCACACACTACAGCATTTATAGCCGACAGCATCATTGATTTTAAGCACAGGGTCCAAACCAAATATTCCATACATATCTCAGTTGAACCCATAACTTATATTTCTCTCACACACACTCCATTGAGACATTAACAGTTGAAGAATAACTTTTTTTCCTGCTGCAAAAAGGAATGTAAATAATGACACTTAAATTGTCACGGTTTGTGTCAGGAGAGCAGGGAAGAGGAAACGAATACAGATTGTACCAGGCATCCAGGAACAGTTTATAGGTGGTTTATTGAAAGCTTACAGGCAGAGTTGCAGGAGGCATGGGTGAAATATGGAACACAAAACAGGGCTTAGAGTGAAACAGTGACAAATATAAATTCCTGCATTTTTAAATGTGTTGCATACAGGTCATTTCCTAGTAATGTTTAGAATATTACGGATTGTTTATGTATGTCTGCTTATATGTTGTTCTGTCCACACTGTGTACATAGTCTTCTTTTTAAAAACATCCATCCTTAAAAACATATTAAACCTGTGTTAATGATCCCATTCATGATCCATTTAGAGTTCATAAGCTATAATTTACAGCTGAACAGCTGCATAGAATTTGACTGCACTTCTGCTGCCAATAAACTGTTAACTGTATACATATACAGTATGTCTAAATAACATATTTTCTTTTCCTGCAGTGTTTCACATGGAGAACAACTGTGCAATGTGCTCTGCCTCAAAGCCCCCAGGATCTGGGCCTCCCACTACAGATTGGGTGAGTATTTGTCGTAGTGTAGTTATAATAGGGCTTCATCATATTCTAATCAAATTCAATTTATGATATTAGATGTATTTACAAAACTGTTGAGTCACTGGATCTATCCAGATCAGGCGGTCCAGCGCAAACGCTGCAGGGCCATGCTTCGATTTCTACTTTTCGGCGCATGCCGAATAATTTTTTTACGGCAACCTCGTGCGTCGCCCCAGCTGCAGCCCACACACATTAACTCTATTCAAAATGACTGTGGAACCGATATAAATTGATTTACTAACAAAACAGTCAAGACAACTTCTCTCAGATAAATGGTAATGTATATACATTGTTTACACATAAAATGAACAGAGACAATATAAAATGTGATGAGTAGTGGAATAGGGATACTGACAATTCTAATCATGTCTAATAGCAACATATTAAATTAAAGTGTAACTTCACCTCAGGTTTGAGTCTAAGTCCACCCACATGATGACAATAGCCTCAATGCAGCGTTGACAAATATGACAAAGCTACATTAGCTTGGAAAATAGCAATATGGGGCACTGAATTAGCGCACCCCGCGGTTCCTCCACCTCACTCTACGCCGCTGGGAGACTGACGGTACATGTCCACCAGATCAGGCCTGGAAACCAAATTATACCTTGAGGCAACACTCCTAATGTAAAACGGACCACTTGGAAAGAGGTTTGTGTGTGTTATCTGCTGTTGTCCTCTTTCACACACCAACATCCTGTAAGTCACTATCAAAATATGGGAAGCAGGGAGAAGCAGCTCGTATGCAATACATAACTGACCAATTAAGAATACCAAAAGGTAACTACATTATAGTGATGCAACATGGGGTTTTCCCAGAACTATAAATCTTCTACCTATAACTACCTAAAAAACATTTTTATTTAAAAAAATGAAAATGTAGACATAATATAGTTATTTTCAGATATTAAACTGGTGTTTGAGGTGAGTATGCTACAGACTATAGATACATGTAATAAAGTTGACATGAATCTAATTTTGCCAAAATTATTCTCTATTGCACTTCATTACTTCATCATTTCCGATGACAAGATGTATCAGATTTGATGGTCACTCATTTCATTTTACAGATACAGTGTGACACCTGTGAAAGATGGTTCCATGAGCAGTGCCTGGGGATGAATCAGGACCAACTCCAAGAAGCCAGGGCAAGCAATTGGAATTGCTGTCTCTGCAACTAGGGCAGAAGAACATGGCTGTGACGACCCCTCCACACCACGTGGGGTGCTGTTTCTGTGTGTGCTTTGTATGTGTGCTTAGGTTCACAGGTTCAGGGGTTGATGAGCTACACCTGGAATCGAACAGGATATAGGAGGAGCCCAGCCGGTTAAGTGGCGCGAACTCCTCTGGGCACTCTCTCCGTGCCAGCCTCGGGGACCTGTGGCTGGTCCTGTTTTTCATTGTTTATAGGAAAATAAACAAATTGTTATTTTCTTAGCCTTCGTCTCGCCTCCCTGTTTTTTTGTTGCAGCCCAGGAGCCGGGTTGGCAGTGTCATATGTCTATGGAATAAATGTTTTTTAGACCACATTAAAGTTGACACAAATGCTCATTCTTGTTCTCTGGAGAGGACTTTGAAACTCAAATTACTCAAAGGTACACAGTAAAAGTTGTTCATATTATTTTTGCAAGTAGTACTGGAAGTACTAAGTACAAACATGGCAGTTTCAGAAACTACTTATGGAATAAATGTTTTTTATCCCACAATAAAGTTGACAAAAATATTCATTCTTGTTCTCTGGAGAGGACTTTGAAACTCAAATTACTCAAAAATACACAGTAAAAGTAGTTCATATTATTTTTGCAAGTAGTACTAGAAGTACTAAGTACAAACATGGCAGTTTCAGAAACTACTTATGGAAGAAATGTTTTTTATCCCACATTAAAGTTGACAAAAATGCTCATTCTTGTTCTCCGGAGAGGACTTTGAAACTCAAATTACTCAAAAGTACACAGTAAAAGTAGTTCATATTATGTTTGCAAGTAGTACTAGAAGTACTAAGTACAAACATGGCAGTTTCAGAAACTACTTATGGAAGAAATGTTTTTTATCCCACATTAAAGTTGACAAAAATGCTCATTCTTGTTCTCCGGAGAGGACTTTGAAACTCAAATTACTCAAAAGTACACAGTAAAAGTAGTTCATATTATTTTTGCAAGTAGTACTAGAAGTACTAAATACAAACATGGCAGTTTCAGAAACTACTTATGGAATGAATGTTTTTTATCCCACAATAAAGTTGACAAAAATGCTCATTCTTGTTCTCTGGAGAGGACTTTGAAATTCAAATTACTCAAAAGTACACAGTAAAAGTAGTTCATATTATTTTTGCAAGTAGTACTAGAAGTACTAAGTACAAACATGGCAGTTTCAGAAACTACTTATGGAAGAAATGTTTTTTATCCCACATTAAAGTTGACAAAAATGTTCATTCTTGTTCTCTGGAGAGGACTTTGAAACTCAAATTACTCAAAAGTACACAGTAAAAGTAGTTCATATTATTTTTGAAAGTATTACTAGAAGTACTAAGTACAAACATGGCAGTTTCAGAAACTACTTATGGAAGAAATGTTTTTTATCCCACATTAAAGTTGACAAAAATGCTCATTCTTGTTCTCCGGAGAGGACTTTGAAACTCAAATTACTCAAAAGTACACAGTAAAAGTAGTTCATATTATTTTTGCAAGTAGTACTAGAAGTACTAAGTACAAACATGGCAGTTTCAGAAACTACTTATGGAAGAAATGTTTTTTATCCCACATTAAAGTTGACAAAAATGCTCATTCTTGTTCTCCGGAGAGGACTTTGAAACTCAAATTACTCAAAAGTACACAGTAAAAGTAGTTCATATTATTTTTGCAAGTAGTACTAGAAGTACTAAGTACAAACATGGCAGTTTCAGAAACTACTTATGGAAGAAATGTTTTTTATCCCACATTAAATTTGACAAAAATGCTCATTCTTGTTATCCGGAGAGGACTTTGAAACTCAAATTACTCAAAAGTACACAGTAAAAGTAGTTCATATTATTTTTGCAAGTAGTACTAGAAGTACTAAGTACAAACATGGCAGTTTCAGAAACTACTTATGGAAGAAATGTTTTTTATCCCACATTAAAGTTGACAAAAATGCTCATTCTTGTTCTCCGGAGAGGACTTTGAAACTCAAATTACTCAAAAGTACACAGTAAAAGTAGTTCATATTATTTTTGCAAGTAGTACTAAAAGTACTAAATACAAACATGGCAGTTTCAGAAACTACTTATGGAATGAATGTTTTTTATCCCACAATAAAGTTGACAAAAATGCTCATTCTTGTTCTCTGGAGAGGACTTTGAAACTCAAATTACTCAAAAGTACAAAGTAAAAGTAGTTCATATTATTTTTGCAAGTAGTAATAGAAGTACTAAGTACAAACATGGCAGTTTCAGAAACTACTTATGGAAGAAATGTTTTTTATCCCACAATAAAGTTGACAAAAATGCTCATTCTTGTTCTCTGGAGAGGACTTTGAAACTCAAATTACTCAAAAGTACACAGTAAAAGTAGTTCATATTATTTTTGCAAGTAGTACTAGAAGTACTAAGTACAAACATGGCAGTTTCAGAAACTACTTATGGAAGAAATGTTTTTTATCCCAGCATTAAAGTAGACAAAAATGCTCATTCTTGTTCTCCGGAGAGGACTTTGAAACTCAAATTACTCAAAAGTACACAGTAAAAGTAGTTCATATTATTTTTGCAAGTAGTACTAGAAGTACTAAGTACAAACATGGCAGTTTCAGAAACTAATTATGGAAGAAATGTTTTTTATCCCACATTAAAGTTGACAACAATGCTCATTATTGTTCTCTGGAGAGGACTTTGAAACTCAAATTACTCAAAAGTACACAGTAAAAGTAGTTCATATTATTTTTGCAAGTAGTACTAGAAGTACTAAGTACAAACATGGCAGTTTCAGAAACTACTTATGGAAGAAATGTTTTTTATCCCACATTAAAGTTGACAAAAATGCTCATTCTTGTTCTCCGGAGAGGACTTTGAAACTCAAATTACTCAAAGTACACAGTAAAAGTAGTTCATATTATTTTTTGCAAGTAGTACTAGAAGTACTAAGTACAAACATGGCAGTTTCAGAAACTACTTATGGAATAAATGTTTTTTATCCCACAATAAAGTTGACAAAAATGCTCATTCTTGTTCTCTGCGCTTTGTTTCAAATTACCCGGTGCTCTTTTTTCGGCGGAGGTGCGCATGCGCACCTGCGCAACAGTTATGTGCAGCCCTGCATATAAGACATATTTGACATACAGATGGCTTATTTACAATTTACATACAGGTGGTTTTTTACATACAGATTGCTTATTTACAATTTTCATTTTAGATTTTGTTCTAATACATCCTAACCGGACATTTAAGACATACCAAGTCTACAGATATACAGTTAGTAACATAGTCTAAAATGCGAGTATATACATAGATGGGGGGGGGGAAGCTGTCCATTGAACGACAGGTTGAGATTTGTACCATTACCGGGGCCAGTTTTACGATGCTCTCCCCCGAAGGTGCTCTTTAAGAGAGGTTTTGAAGTTAAGTATAGTTTTACTTTCCTTTCCAGTTGTTCCAGTCCTTTCGGATATGTCGGGACAGAATTTATTTTACCGGACAAATTTGAAACTTACCGGTCATGTTTCAATAATAAGAATAAGAATGGTGTAGTAAAGTTTCCGTTAGCAGGTAATCACCGGACTATGACAGGATATGCTGATGTTTAAAACTCAGTTAATGGGAGTCATTTTCATATTGCTTCAGTTTATAATCATTTTTCAATAAATGATTCCACAAACAACAAACAACATAATTATTACATTCAAACAAACTACTTGTAGTAGATGAAGTACATTATTCAAAAGTTTACATTAACTTTGGATAATAACACGGGAGAAACGGATCCTCTCTTTTCCCCTCTCCCTCTTTCTCTCTCCTGACAGCCCGTCTGTTTCTCATGCAGCGCGCTAAACAGTGGGCGGGGCTTCAGGTGATTAGGCAGCAGCTGATCTGATCTCTCTCAGGTCCGGTTATACTTCCAATAGTATGAAGCTGCAGCGTCGGAGACAGCAGTTACAGGACCGCAGTTACAGGACCGCACCACGTGACGGCGGCACGTGACGGAGCACGTGACAGCACGTGACGGCGGCACGTGACGGTCAACGCACGTTCACATGAATGTTTATATGTATATTAAACAAACAACACTGTTTCATTATTATTAAAAAGAAAACAACACTGTTAAACACTGTTTCAGAATACATTTTTATTTATTTTTATTTCCACACTGTGGGGGTCTGCTGTCAGGCAGTTTTGGCAGAGCTCATAGAGTAAAATGTGATATATTGACATATATATTAAATCAGATGGGTCAGTCACTGGGGGTGAGGCGGGGTCTGCTGTTTCTTCACTGGGGGTGAGGCGGGGTCTGCTGTTCCCTCTCCAGGGAGATAACCTGTCGTGGCACTCTGAACACTGGCTGAAGGGTTCCCTCCAGCAAGCTTCTGGCCTCCAGAGTCCAGAAGTCAAACCTTTGGCCATGCCTTTGAAACAATAAGAACAAGACGTCATCTAAAGTATTGCATAGGGAAAGGCTAAGGCATTGGTGCACAATTGATATGCATTAATAATCTCAACAGATATTGCCACCCAGAGTCTTACAGCTCTTGTTACTGATGGTCTACTGATCTGTACATGGTTAACCTAATATAATAGATAATCTACAAGTGACCCTCAAAATAAAGTGTTACTTAAATCAAAACACACATATTGTTAAGGGCTTTCATACCCTTGTATTTCAAAATGCTGCATGAGAAGAAGACACCACCACTTCCGAATCAAAGGCATGTCCCTCTGAATGAAATTAGAAAGTGACAAAGACCATTTTTGATTCACAATGTCCACAATAAATCATTTTTCTTCAACATGAACAGTATGATGCAACATAAGCAACACTTTAAGTAGGCATTTACTTCTTTAGTAAACAAAAATCCTAAACTAACCTCCTGGAATTGAAGCCCGGCGCTTGTGACAATGGACAGAGTGTACTGGAACAGAGAAGATGGAAAACAAAGCATTATATTTACAATGTTTACAGAAGCCTGCAAACGTGCCAACTGATACCCTACCATAAGCATAAAAATTCCGCAGTCATTTCCAGACATCTGGCGTGGCAAGCCCTAAAATCAACATCAAAAAAAGATAACATACAAATACATGACTGATAGATAAACCCCAAGTGTTCTCCGTCACATGATGATTTGTACATGATATGCTGCAGAGTACAGGCAATAGTAATGTATCTTTGCAGTAGCTATGCATTTATTATTAATATTTGTTGTGCATTGATTATTCACCGCAATATCATGCCCAGTCTTCTCTGTCCAGCTCCCAGGATTAATCTGCTGAGCAAGATTTCTACAAGACAAACATTAAAAAATTAACAAAAAGACATTTTGGAATTCATAATGTTAAAGTTCTTTGGTACTTGTGCAAATAAGTCTACAGTAGCTGCCACATGTCTTTGTCAAAATTGCCTTGCAGTACCGGCATGAACAGATATTTAGAAAGATAACAATTATTTCCTAAAATCAGAGAAAAGCTCACACATCAGAGAAAAGCAATACAAATAATTTCAAACATATATATGTGACAACCACTGAGACATTAGACAATAGGAACCAAAACATACCAGTACAGGCTATAGGAACGTAGCCAAAATGTAATGTGCCATATGAACGTGGCGAACAGTATGTCTTATCTGTTGACCTAAACATTGCTCTGTACTCAGCATCACCAAACCCAGACTCGTGCATGGTGTACTGCGAGTCTAAAAAGATCATCTCTCTCAGGAGTGGCTTCATGATCTATAATATGGTAATGAGTAAAGAGGTGCACAATCGTTTACAAGTCATTAGGACAGGGAGTAGAGTTGTAGTTGACTGTTGAAATACACATGAATTAACAGGTAACAATTGACATTTAAAGGATTCAAATTATGAAATAGTTGTAATAATAAAGGGAAATAATTCAGTAATATGTGTAAGTTCATGAAAATGTTCAAAAACATTACATTTAAAATGATGCAAAAGTTGTGACCAATAATGAGAAATGACTGACATTTATGGTTGGTCTTTGTTTTGTTTACCTGTTACTAACACTACCTAATTACCAGTATTATTATAGACACTAGTGTATGTAGTTACAGTAAAATGTCCTTACACAGAGTACAAAGTGTCCTGGCCCATTTGCATTGGTCCATGCCGGAAAGACTAAGAAGTCTTTCATGTTGATATCCTCCTAACATTTATGAAACAACATCTTGTTATTATGTAAATCTACAATTTTGTGACCGCATACATATTTTGTTATTTTATATAGACTTACCGGAAAGTTGGCAACCATGTTGCTTTGTCTGTTCTTCCAAGTAGGAACAATGTACATGTCCTCTATATAAATGTCTTTGCCCTATTGGAAAAAACAACAACTTTGAAAGTAGACTAAAGTATAACAGAATATACTTACAGCTAGTCTGCTTAATTTAGGCTTTAGTCTTTTATATATGTTACATACGTGTTGCCGAGCTGCTTCGTGAATCCATTTCATGCAGGCATTCCCAATCTACAAGACACAATCAAAACTCATCAATGAACAAGCACAAAAAAACAAAAACAAAAACCTCCTAGTATTAACAAACTTCTCACTACCGGTACTCACATGAGCATCCATGTTTCTTCCCAACCCCAGGCTCCAGAATTCTTCTCGTGTGATACATGTGTGCCCTTCTTTCACAAGGATCTCTGATCCAGGCCTTGCAGTGTCCAACACGTAATTGAGCTGCAAAAAAAAACCCAGCTATTAGTCAGATAATACACACTATTATCATACTAATACATACAATACTGAATACATTTGAAGCCATTTTGACGTATATTACCTATGTCAATAAGTTTCTGTTTTTGTAGTGTAGGCTATTTGTCTTTTGTAGAGATTTTTTATTTATTCTTTATAAAATCTCGCCTTGGGCAGCAAATTGGCTAGAACCGGCCCTGGTACTAGGCCTCAAGAGCCTTTATTGTGCTGTCAGACTCATAGAAACCAATTGGCGGTGCGCACTTCGCACGTGCACACGCTAAAAAACTCCACGCGCTCGAATTATACTGGGCCCACGTGCCTTGGCACCGCTGCTATGACTCCATCCTAGGGGAAACACTGGTGTGTACTATGACAAAGAATGAATATTTCTACTAATTAGCTTACCAGTTGGTCCTGGATATGATTCCTGTCTTTTTCCCAGGGCTTCACTGTTGCCGAATAGCTGAGGGCCTCTGTCGGGGACAAGGCGATGGCTTCTGTCAGGGGCACGGCGATGGCTTCTGTCAGGGGCACGGCGATGGCTTCTGTCAGGGGCACAGCGATGGCTTCTGTCGGGGGTACTGCATCTGCTGAAACTAAAGTAGAAAAACTCAATACCAGTCATACATATGTCAGTGATGTTTAAGAAAGCTAAACCATCTGGTGAAAGAAGTTCCTAATCATGATATGCTATGAAACTACTGTCATACAGAAAAACTAAATTAAGAACATGCCAGGACATGATCACTCTTTCCCCCCCCCCCCAACGTGACTAATAATATGCTTGTAAGAGAATATTTTAATCCGATCTTGATTGTATAGAGTTTCTCAGCTTTTCTTAGAATCTGTGTTATTGCAAACATGCTTTTCGTTAGTCATATGATTCTCTGTAAGTTGAGGTCACAGGTCAAGAAGCTTCTCTGCTTTTCCTGTGGGGGAGGGTTTCCTGTCCCCATACATTTGCGAGACAAACAGAGCTTTGTCCCGACATCTGGCGATGATTAGGTAAAGCGCGGGCTTCTGTGGTTCCGCCTCTTCTCATGTTGGTGCGTGGTGTCTCGCCTTTGTGTCAGAGCTGGCCAGGTTTCGTCCTGACAAGGGTCGAAGCTTTGCTATCTCTCCGGCTGTATTAAAATGTACTCTTAAATAAACTCTCAGTGTTTTGGCTAACGACGATCCAGACTCTATCATTTCACCTCAACATTGCTACACAGAAGTTTTCCTCACAGATTGGCGTCGCGAACAGTATACCAAAAGATCTTCAGAACTGGTAAGTGTAATTTCAAATCTATATTTGGACATTGCCTTACCAGACTCTGTGATTGACGGTATCATAAATTACCTGTGAAACTGAGCAGATGCAATTTTTTTGGGTCTCTCTATTTACATCTGTGGAATTTTTTTTTTTTATGATAACCTGGGGAATCGGTGTCAAATGGGGATTCTGTCCTGGCCGATTTTCCCTGTGATTACTACTGGGGCAAGTACCTACAAGAGCAAGCACAGCTCATGTAAAGAACAATAAGAATATTTGGGGCTAATAAATAACCTCGGAATATCGACTTTTACCGATTTCCTCTGTGTGTGTTTCCTGGAATTAAATTACCAGACAATTACACACGGCAAATATTCGGAGAGACCTTAAGGAGAGCATCAGTAAGGTTGAACTTCTGTTCAAAAGCAATGTAAAGATTTGTAATTGAAACGAATCGCCGAATTCTGGAGATTTCAGCTGTAAACTGGTCAAATCGACTCGCCTCGAATTCTGCCTGTTGCTGCGGGGGATTGTGTGTAGATTTCCCTCCTCCCCCCTGCGGAGAGCGGCAGGCGAGGAGAAATAAAGCACAGTGTCATATTCTCTTAATCACACCATTATGGTTTTGGAACTAAACATAACGGTTATTAATGGGAAGGGTGATGGGGCAGTGTGACATCGAGCTGTGTTTCATAACTGACGAGTTGTTAAATTTGGCTGTTGTTTTAAGACAGGGTAAATAAAAAAGCCTCCGCTCTCCGGATACGGAGGGAGCGGAGCACTACTAAATTGGCATGGTGGTTGTTTGATTGAGAATAAATTAGTTATTGCTCTTCAACAGATTCCGTTCTTAGCACTTGTACAAGTATATGAGTAAGAAGGCACTCATATTAAACAGATATTTCCCTACCCGCTGGAATCTCCCTAATTCGGATTAAATTAAATTGGATTCACTTTGGCTATCGCGCTGATTTTTGTTGCGAGTACATGTTTGTTTGTCTAATTGCAGTGTTTGTTTTATTGTACTAACCGTTAAACATGGGTAATACTGCCTCCACAAACGATTCAGTTGGTAAGAGGAAAACCATTTCACGTACCAAGACACCATCTAAAGATCCAATTACAGACAGCCATTACACGCACATCTTTTCTCCTAACATGCCGTCTGGAATTGTTGGAAGAAGCTTGGATTGGTCTAAAGTTATGCCGTTTACATCGTTACTTTGCGAACACTCACAACAGATTAATCAGAAAGGGAAGATTCAATTTGATTTGCCATTAACAGGTACTTTTGACATGGGCGTGTTGTGGCAGGCATTTAAACTGGTTGAAAATAATTCAAATTGCTCATGGGATATGGGATACATGAAAGAATGTGTTAAAGCATGGATGTCTATTGCAGAGAAAAGAGGTTATGATGAGCGAAAGAATGAAAAATCTGTTGGCACCGAGCGAGGCTCCATTGAGCTCAAAGCATTGATTGATGGGGTTTCTAAATGTGCGGAGAGTTGTCATTTGCTTAGTCTAGAGGCTGCTTTTGATGTTAAATCAGAGAACATGTCCAGAATTAAGGAAAGACACGGAAAAGACGTTGCAGCGTTGCGAAATCAGTGATGTACGATTGGTTGAAAAGACAAGGGAAGTCTCCCAGCCTGTCTCAGCTCATTTGCATTTTGACAGACACTGGGCTGCTGGAAGGAAAGCAGGCTGTATCTCTCTGTACAAAAATAATTCCCGCGAAAGAACTCTCAAATCCCGTTGCGAGAAACTCCGATGATGATCTGTTAATGACAGCTGCAGCTATCATGAATGAAAATGGGTTGAGATATCAGACAGGACATCATAGAGAACTAGATTCAGGACAAGAGGAGCAGAGTGCAGCGGAGGGTGAAGGGGATTTTTCAGACGACAGCCCGTTGCGAAATCCCCCTCCTCGTATTCCGCCACTCCGTTTACACGATTATCCAGGATCGCCGTACGGCAGCAGTTTTCCAAAAAATTTCCAGCGTAAAATTATCACGAGAATGCAAACATCTCAGAAAAATTATTCTGCTGAAACTGTGACCGCCCCGAAAATTCTGATAGGAGAGGTTCCAGTTTTTAAGCCATGGACACCCGCTGAGGTCATTGATGTCACTAATCACGCTCCCAGTCTCACCAAAAGCCCAGATGAGTATCTGTCGTGGTTGACTAATGTCTGCTCAGTTTATAACTGTTTGGTTCATGATGTTAAACAGCTGATAATCTTAACATACAAGGCAGATTGGCCCACGTGCAGAGACGAGTTTAAATTCCCTGAGTGTACGCCTGCAGGTGATTGGCCTCTGACACAGACACGCGACATGTGGATTCAAAACATCGCTGCTTTGGCTATTAGAGCATGCGCTAAGACTCACACAGATTTTTCCCAAGTGATGGCTTGCGTACAGAACCCAACAGAAAATGTCCCAGAATGTATCCAGCGTTTCATGACAGTGTGGGATAATAATGCGGGCATACAGACCTTGTTGCATAATTTAATCCCAGAGACAGCTCAAGCCTACATGATGGCGACTCCTGACTGGCAAGTTAAAACCTGGAAACTCACGATAGCCACAATGCGTGCCCTGCATAGGAGCCAGATATTTCTGACCCCCAGAATTGCCCAGCTGCTGCAACAATTGCCTCAAAATACACAGGCTTATCAGGGTGCGGATAACTCCCAGCAGTTTCAGGGACAAAACCGCACACAGCAGTATCAAAATCAGGGAAGATCACAGGATTATCAAAACAAGAGCAAACAGCAGCAGAATAAAAATTCCAAAAAGTTGATGCCATGTCATGTTTGCGGCGCAACGGACCACTGGGTGGGGCAGTGCGAAAAGCGATGGGGGGCTCAGCAGAACACACAATCCTTGCCTGTTCTCCCCCAACCCCCCCGGCATCCTGCATTAATGCCGCCCCCCCACTATGACAGACAAACCCAACAGGGGCAAAATGGTCAGCAAAGTGGATTTAATATAAGATAGGGGTACCATGGAGAAATAGGATCAGATTCACAGCATTTCCCCATTCAAGCAGCAACAATTCGCCTTTCCAATAACCCGCGTGAAGATCCGATTATGCCCGTTGATTTTAGTGGTACGGCTGTAGATATTTTGATTGACAGCGGAGCCACATTGTCTGCAGTACGTACTAAGGAGAAAGTGTGTGAAGCAACTAATGATTTTGTTACAACAATAGGAGTTGCTGGCATTTCTATGTCCGAACCCATTTCAGAGAGTACGAATGTTTCAATCGAAGGGTCTAATGTGCAACACTCTTTCATTATTTCAGATGGAAGTCCTATTAATCTAATGGGCAGAGATTTGCTTTGTAAGTTACAGGCAACAATACATTGCACTCCAGATGGATTGTTTTTGACAATTCCTGACAGTAAAATCTATCAAGCTGTCCAATTCATTCAATCATCTCAAGACAACTTTTATTGTTGGTCATTTCCAGATTTCAACATGATTTCTGTTTTCTCCACAACAGGAATTCAGAAAATTGCTAGCCTTTCTCCTGTGTGTGCTTATTTAATGTCCCTCATGCGGCCTGTGTTGAATTGTCACTGCACAGCTGCTTTTAACCCGTCAGATGACTACGCGCGATCAGTAAGAGGTTTTTGCAACAGCTCAGATCGGTTGAGATGTGAGCAGTTTTTGTTCATTGGCCCACAGGGGTGTGCATTACCCCTCAGGCTAACACCCACCCTACAGGCCTTTCATGTTGAAGAAGCAGCCCGCTGCCAGGCTCGGCTGGAAGCTGCAAAAGTTTCCCCTCCCCCCTACACACACACACACACACCTAAAAGTAATTAACTTTGGAGAGGAGCATTTTTTGCTGAGTCTCGCTGAGCCAATTGCTCTTCCTCAATGCACATTCCTCCACTTACAACCAAACCCCCCCACAGAGTATGGCCCCCCTTCAGATTTTTCAGAAGTACCGGCTACATTATGGGCCAAACACAAGAACCATGTTGGGTTTGTCAGCTCAGCTCCTCCACACAGAGTGACACTGAAAGCCAACGCCAGATTGCCAGCTATCAGACAATACAATTTACCCCATAGAGCCATTTTGGGAATTGAAGGAGTCATCCAATCTCTGCTCGATCAGGGCGTATTGATCTATACAACCAGCCTGTGTAATACTCAAATTCTACCCATACCTAAGCACAATCGCCCTGATGAGTGGCGCTTTGTCCAAGATTTGCAAGCTATTAATGCTATTGTCATTCCGACAGCTCCAATTGTGCCGGACACTAATTCGATCCTTGCTTCTCTGCCGCCAGACTCTAAGTACTACACAGTGATTGATTTG